AATATTTTAAACAAACAAACAACAAACCACCACCACCACCACCACCAAACAACAACAACAAAAAAACCCTATTGTAGACATCCTGAATAAGCAATGGCTTCCTTTTACTTCAAGGAAAGTAAATCTCTTCAGCATAACATTAAAGGACATATGAAACTGTTCTTCTCCATGGGTCTCATTTCCCACCACTTCTTCATTTCTTGAATGGTTCAATTATTGCAGCCATTTTCAACAACCCACCATTCATGCTACATATTAGTGTTCCCTCAGTTTTTGCTTATACTCTTTCCTTTACATTTTCATGTTACTACTCCTCTTCTACACCTGGTAGTCTTTCAAGTTTAAAAATAACTCTTTCATGAGGTCCTCCTCAGGAGCATCTCAGCCCTCCAAATTGTTTAACCTTCCTGTTCATTTTAATCACACTCTTATTTATGGAAGTTTTGAGTTGTTTTTGTTACTTTTTAAAATATTCACTTAAATTTTTTTTTTTATAAAAAGAGGTGAGATAATTGTTTTGGGATTATGCGTGTGTGTGTGTGTGTGTGTGTGTGTGAATTTTGTTGCTGTTTCTGTATTCTCTATTCAACTACAGTTTCTCAAGGGCAATCTTTCTGTTCTCCAGTACTTGACACTATACCTAGCTAGTGTTAAAGAAGTATTTATTCAATGAAAATGTGATAGGGGACAATCTAGGCTGGAAAGGAGGGTGAGTGATTATTAGCTGAATAAAGAGATGATAGTAGAATGTTAGTTACACTAGTATAGGGATTTAAATCTGTTTTATCTCCTTGGGATGATGTAAAAATTCATTGAATAAAAAAAGATTATGGTGGAAGATTTCACACTAACATTATAACACCTAACCTTGGGAAACACAGAGGTGTTACATGATTGGTAAGGTTTTGTCACATCCCAATTCAAATGAACTTTTGAGAAAAATGGTGGCTATTTTTCTCACAGTCAACCTTTAAAAAAATCTGAACAGACATAAAAGATTTTTTAAAAATGTTTTTCCAAGAATATTACAAAAAAAGTGCTTCTTACTTTCATCAAACTTTAAATTTTAAAGAATACATGTGCTCCCTAATTTGTTTCAATTTTTAAAATCAATCACTCACATGCTGAATATTTTTAAGTGAATATGACACTTTGCATGGATCCCATAAATAAACAAAACGTGCACAGCTTTGTTTATGTTAGGAACCTTCTGCTAAGTGTTGCTTCTATTTATTTACTTTTAAATTATGCCAGATTTTTGCAAATTTGAGTCAGTTTGGGGATCAACTTGAAATTTTAAAGACTGGCTATTTATTTTGCCTATGATACCTTGCAAATGTGTTAAGGTAATAGTTTTAAGGGCCAGAAGGTGGCAAAAGAAGAAAATGTTTAAAATGGACTGAATTATGGAAGTGGATATTCTACACCATAAAAATTTTTATCATTTCTCTTAATTTAATTTTCTTTAACTTCCCCATTCTGTTTGTTTTCTCCAGAGTTTTTAGCCCTCATCCCTCACATCTCAGATACTCAGATATACTCTTGATTTATACAGCCCACTACCAAAGGCTGTGGCAATGAACATGAGACATGATTCAATAAAGATAGGTAGATAAATAGAAACTTTGCTCAAAAAGTCATGTTACTAAAAATAAGCCCTGGTAATTATCTAAAATTAAAATTCACTAATTTATCCATAATAAGAAGCTGGCATCCATAAACTCTCTTCCTCTTGTGTAATCCAGTGTGACTCATGAGATTTAGGGGTAGTTAGCTTTTCAAGACAGTGGAAATCCAGTGATGATACTTCTATGAGGCAACAGACACTGATACTTATCTCACAAACAACCATCCAGTACCCCTGTCCTCTCCTTCTATCTTAACTGAGCCATCTTTATGTTCAAGCATCTTTTGTGCTCCACCCTGCTGTGCTGGTCCTCTACCCTGCCATGCTGGTCCTATCCTTTGTTCCAAGGGTGGTCGATACTAATAAGACTACATCAATCTCAATCTCTTTGAGAATGGCTGGTTTATATGTGGCTATGTGGCCTCATTTTGGCCAACTGGATCTTAGAGAAAGTCAACAATAGTGTATCCAAGAAAGTTCTTCGCTCTGAAGGTACAGACACATAAAAAAAAAATCCCTTTCTTTTCCCATAATGCTTTTTGATGACTGGATGTGATACCTGGATTGGCTGCAGCAGTAACTATGAGGGAAACCCACTTGAGGGAAGAACCAATATGATGGGTGATGGAGTAATACACAGGAGGATCTGGCATCCCCAGCCACAGCTGTTCCTTGTCTGGAGCCTGCCACACCTAGCTTTCACATTTTCAGCCAGTCAGAGTAATTTCCTCTTCAATGTAGTCAGGAGAATTCTGATAAACTTCTTGCTGTCTATGGTTGAATAATGCAATTACTCTGCGTTTGGTATTACAAAAGGATATACATATCTGGATTTCTTTTGCAAGTAGATAGTGAGCAGTACAATATCTAGAGGCCAGCTTTCACTGAACACTGTTCAAATGTTGGACTTGAACCTTCATAAAGAAAGGAGTGTAAATCAATTAATATGGTTATTGGATAAGAGTTGTTTCTTTTTCATTAACATAAGGTAGCCAAGAATTATAGGAATAGAATATATTTAAAAATAGAAACACTCCAAAGAATTGCCATCATATCATCATGCATTTTAAATGAGCCAAGTTAGAAATAGGTTAAAAAAAAAAACCCTGCTCTTTCAAACAGAGTTAACATTATAAAATTTTAGCAGTTAACAGAAAGAGATTGGGGTATGAACAGTGGCCCTTCTTTCAAAAAGTGGTTGAACCCAAAGAAAAAATACAACATTATTATGACGGTCAAATGTACGTTACTGTTTCAGTCATTTTGATAATTTTCAATTAAATATAGTTTCTACTTCAGTTTCAATGAGTTAACTTGGTTTAAGATTTTATACTTTCTAATAGTTTTAATTGGAAATTTTTAATAAAATAAGTCCACAATTTTTTTAAAGAGGGAAAGATATAATTGAATATGATTTTATACTTAATCCATATATAGTTTTGTGGGATATGATTTGAAAGGTGAAATGCTAATTTTTAATACATTAAAATTAAATGTGCCTGTGATGTTCATTTCAGGATTTATTTGATTTATAGTTGTAATCCTGACCAGTCCATTTCTGGCCCCTAAAATTCCTTTGTGGAAATCAGAGGCATGAGAGGCTAGATATGCACATTCGGTCCTTATGTGTACAGGTGTTAGAAAGCAGAAAGAGCCAAACAAAACTAGAGGCTCCATCATTCAATGTAGTTCCACTATTTTCCAAATGTAATATAGATAGTGGGTTTAGATCCCCCAGTTTTTGATAGAGACTGCCAGTCTAATTCATTTTATTTAACTCCAATGGATCCAAACAAAAGATGTTTGGGGAGCAAATTTAAATTGTGCACTGGCAATTTATGATTCTAACTTAAAGAAAGAGGGTAGTATCTACTTGCTTGGATGCTACTGCTACACTGGATGTTGAGCTCCTGATGGTACAATTTGAGAGGAGAGGGGCAGAGGGCATATTTTTCCTCCAAGGTAAATCTCAAGCAGGAAAGACCATACTTAAGTGAGAGAAAAATGCAACAAATGTGATATTAACTTTGAAGACAAAAGAAAATGAATGTGTAAAATCAAGTACTATGTGAGAAGGAGAAAGTTGTGATTTTCAGGTAGTTTTCCTTCTATAGTACTGTTCTGCTAAATAGCTCTAACACTTTCCCAACATTAATTAAACCTCACAAACCTGTGAGATAGGTAATTACTATAATTAAACCGATATTCCAGGCTGGTAAAATGAGACTTAAAATGTCCAAGGTCAGAGTAAGAATCTATGGCCCAGTTTAGCAGATAAACTACAGATTCTTATATTGGGTTACTCTTTTAGAAAGGGTCCTTTCTCTCTCTTTTCTCTCTCTCTCTCTCTCTCTCTCTCTCTCTCTCTCTCTCTCTCTCTCTGTTTAGATTAAGATATGATGATAGGATAAATAAACTTGAACATTGAGAAGTTACACTGCAAATTGAATAGGGAAGCTTGAGGACAATATAGAACAATAGCTGAATGAACAATCCAGAGTCCATAAATAACATATATAATATGCAAACTCCATTTCAATTAACTGTATTTATTTTAAAATTCTTGATTTGAATTGCTGGTTTAGCTAGATGCATCAGGGAATCAAGAAATCAATGCACGTAAAGCATTCTCCATACTACACAACAGCATATAAAAGACTGTCATTAGTTTGGAAAGAGAACACAGTAGACAGACAGAAGGAACTCTTCTTGTTGCTATAACTACGACATAACAAAGGTCAGCACTGGGGGAAGAAAAAAACCTTCCTGGCTAGAACATTAACAACTCAGGGATATTATCTTGAATCCTTCTTCACAACAAAGAAAAAGAGAAATGCTTTCAATTTATTTATTTTTTTGATTAATAAAAGAGTTAATTGAAGATAAACTAATCAATGGAAATGCACATAAAAAAGACATAAGCTCAAAAACTGGTTTTGATTTAAAATAAAACATTGAGACTAATATCCAAGAACCTGTACTTCTGCAAATGGAAATATCTAGGTTACATTCGAAGTCTAAAATCTCAATTTCAGAGAAAAATAATTTTTTTATTATTACTTAATAGAAATATTATTACTTAATAGAAAATGGCTGAAAATATATTCAATTTCATAGTTTTGCAGAGCTGAAACAGTCTGACTTTGAAATCTAGTTTAATGTTTTTAAAAAGTAAATTTTAGAAGTGTAAATTTATTATTAAGAAGTCTTGGAGATTTTTTAAGGTTTCGTTTTGTTTTTGGGGGGGGGAGGGGAAAGTTGTATCTGACAATTTGAAGAGACCTGTTTAAAAAACGCCCAATTTCTGCTCAGAGGGTTCATTTTAAACAAAAGGTCCAATTCTTCCCATGGATCTAAGGAGAACATTAGTTACCTGAGTCATTGAGATTGGAGTTTTGACTGGTAGTTAGGAGGACTGAGAGATGGACACTTATTACTTGATTTCCAGTGTCCTTTAAATCCTTTCAGATAAGACCTGGGTAAAAAAAAGAGGAGGCTGAGAGCAAGAGCTTACCTGCCACATTCACTGCTGCCAGGGGAACATGGGCAGCAGTCACACTCATGCTTGTCAACAAGGCAGTGCCCAATGTTTTCTGGTCAGCTCCGTGTTGCAGATTCTACCACAATATTCCATATTTTGATTATTTATTTCTTAAGGAATACACTCCCCAGAAAAGTACGCAGGTAATCCTAGGTCTAAGGCAAATTTTCCTGGGAAAAGTGACCAGGTAAGGGCCTTTGATACAGCTAGGTAAGAGAACAAGAGGTATCTCAAAGGACAACACCAGGCTCTGATTCTAGATACAAGTCTAGCTGTGTTTAGATCTGTTAGTATCTAGAAGTTGCTTACCGTGACATGGTGTTCTGCACCAAAATCAAACTATTATTTCTTTCATGAGTAAAAAAGTCTGAAATGTTATTGCTTGGGTTTCTAACAATTCAATGAACAAATCCATACCAACTATTTATGATAAAGTATAAAGAGGAACATAACTAATCAAAATCAAGCCAAGTTCTTTTCCTACAAAAGGATCTTTCTTCCGGAGACTTCCCTTTCAAGGCTAAATAGGCAGTCAGTGTGTTTTTTTGTATCAGAGTTATAATTTTACAGAAATGAGAAATTATATGCAAGAAGAGATGCCATAAATAAAGAAGAATAGAGCTTCCTAAATTTGGTCTTATGAAGAATGATTCTAAAAATTGATGTCCAGGATAGTCCTTGGTATGTCACTGTGTAGTGTCCAAAATGTGTGTAAAAATATATGAATGTATACTACTTGATTAGCTGATTAGTTGATTTGAATATGGTGCTAACGAGACCAGGGTAATGTGTTTTACCCTGTGAACCCATTATCTTCATTATCCTCGATTGTCACCGTCTTTATCCTTGGCAGTGGCCAGCCATTCCACAAATAAATTCTGTGAATCATTAGAAAAACAAGGTAAGAAAGTAAAGATAGCTAGAAAAACAGCTCAAAGCACGTGACCTACCATGTTGGCTAGTTAATAGTACCAGCTTGAAATATGAAGGTCAGCATTATGTTAATGTTATATGGATATTTAATTAAAAGTGAAAGAAAATAACAAGTGTGTAGAATATTGATTTTAAGAACTAATTTCATCAAATCCCAGTTGTTGACCTACCACCAAGAAAACTGCTAAAAATATCCTTAAAGTGTTCAATTAAGGCATTTAAAATATTATTTCATTGCGATATTATAATTAATTCGTGCAAAACTCTTTTATGTAAATAACTATACTTAATCTTAGACTATAGTACTTTATTAATTAAATTTCCCCCCCATGGTCATAATAAGGTGAACCATGTTTTCTGAGAGAAACTGATCTGCTGGAATAAAGCTCTTGGAGAGAGTAATAGAAGAGGAGGGTCAAAAGATGGGGTCATTTGGAGAAGGGCTTTGAACATGGTTACGTGAATTTTTTATCCTATAGAAAATGGAGAACTGACTTCCACAACTTTCATATATGCCACTTGAATTCAATGTGGCTGGCTTAGAATGTTAGGAACCTCCTGTGCCACAGAGGTTATTTATGAGGTGGGACACAGTAGAGTCAAACATGGTCCCGGAAGTCAAGAATCTCAAACTCTGCTAAAGATGTCAAATAAATAAAGGTCCCAGATAATACTGTAAAGGAGAACTGAAGAAATTACTTTTCCGTCTTTTTCTTGGTATTTATGGTATTGACCTTCTACAAAGGATATGATAATTTTGTTATTATAATCAGCATGAACTGCAGAAGAAAGAGGTAGTCCTTAGGGACCATAAACATGAATTGGGATGTTGGGTTCCAGGATGTTGGACAGCCCCAAAAACCTTTCCTGGCTCAGATGTTGGATATGTTTCATGACTAATAAAGAATACCCACTTGGTGGATTAGGAATGGATTTGAAAGCACCTGCAGAGAACCTGATGGTGTCTAAGATTATCTCTAATTTATTTCATTTATTTATGGTATTTCCTTTTGTGGTATTACCTCCGCTTTATTCTTTACTAAGTTTTTAAAAATATTCTAATTTTGGCTTAGTTGTCCTACTAGTATTTAATACTAGTATTTAAAGCATAATTTGTTCATAGTTACTAGACTTTCCCCATAGTAATTAAGATACTTTCAGTGTTACTCCCTTAAGGATGGCAATCAGCTGGAAAGCTCCAGGGGGAAGAGAAATCTCGAGGTCAGATTCAGAGTTGTGTGGCCTACTTAATCTCTCCAGCAGGTTATTCTCCTTATAGCATTACTCTGGGTGACAGACTGACAGCCATCCTTACAATTTTTTTTTTCTGTATTCCACTGTGGTAGATTTGCATCTAGAGGTGGCGGCTGCTCAGCAAATGTGCATTTAGGGGTGGCATGGGAGAAGCTCTTGACAAGTGCATGGGAGCTGCAGAACTGTGTTCTATACATTCATTTAATGTCCCATTAATAAGGGGTCTAAAATCATAATTAAATCTAAGTTTCTGGTACCAAGGTCTTTTAAAAGCAATCATGCCATCTCCATGGCCTTCTACCTGCTTGATATACTTGATGGGAAAGCCCCAATATGGAAGGGAATTGGATATCTGAATTAGAGTTGAGAAGTTTTCTCTCCTGAAATTTCCATCCTACACTGTTATATGAGCAAACAATATACTTCTGTGATTTTTTTGCACTGATGCATTTTGGGGTTCATTTGTTACAACACGATTAGCTACCTTTTTAGAAATTCTGGGATAATGGTGATGATATGGATCATGATCATGATGAATATCAGTAGGATTTTAAACATATTTCATAGCATAATACAACCTTTATGGAGAGTGGGGACACTTTTTGAAGTTGGAAGTTGATTTTCTCATCAAGATATCAATGAAGACCATGTATTCCTGCTTCAAATCACAAAACACACAAAGCAAATACCACTTCCAGAGAGTTGCAAGCTATAGCAGGCATCTCACAGAGAGAACAAACCTTGTTTTACTATTCATGAAACTTAAGGACCCTGAGTGAGAATTCACAAAGATCTATGTGTTCTCAACAGTTGTCATCAAAGCCCAGATACATCATGTTGGAGAAGACAATGGAGGACATGGACTAGTGTGGGTGTTTAAACTTGTATACAAAGTAACAAAAGATGTGAAATAGACCAGAGAAGAGATATTCCCCTTTATCACAGTTGGCTAAAGATATAATAAATCCCCCAGTTAAAAAGCAATGGACCTTGCATGCACAAGGTCCTGGGTTCAATCCCCAGTAAAACACACACCCATACACACATGTACACACACAAAAAGCAATGGAGACTATATCACAGCCATGAGTTATACTGTATATTATTTGTTCTATACATTCATTTAGTGTCCTATTAATAAAGGGGCTAAAATCATAATTAAATCTAAGGTTCTGGTACCCAAAGAGGATCTATTGATTAATGTTAATCATAAAACTCAGAATAGAGTTTTTAAGCATAAGGTTTACAAAAGAAACAGGATTGGGTACAACATTCAGCTGCACCACATAGTAAATTCATGAGCTAATCTGTGTTGCTTAATTTTTATGGGTCTCAATTTTATTATTTGTAAAATGGAAGTAATAATTACATCACAGGCATATTATAAAAACAAACAAGTTCTGCAGATTACTTAATGCAGTGTCTGACATAGATGGGTCATTAATAGGAGCCCTTATTGTCAACTATTAGGAGTGTTTTGTAGCTTTCTTTTATCAGTGCAAAAATAAAATTCTTTGAATGTCCAGTTTATTTTCTCTCATTTGTTTAAGATTTTATTTTGAAACTGAACTCAAAAGACTTGCAAAAAGGAAAGTATGAGAAAAGGAATTTCCAAGAAGAAAAATTTCCAGAAAGGAATTTGGCATGATAGAGCATGATGCCTTTTTTTGATTAAAACAAAACAAACAAACAAAAAACTGCTTATTTACACAATTCAAATCTTCTAACATTAGGTTGAGTTTTTAAGTATTTGAAAAGATGGTTAAGAATCTAATATCTTTCTGGAATATATTCACTCATTAAGAAAGAGCTACAGGGCTGGGGTTGTGGCTCAGTGGTAGAGTGCTTTCCTCCCACATGTGAAACACTGGGTTTGATTCTCAGCACCACATAAAAATAAATAAACAAAATAAAGGTATTGTGTCCATCTAAAACTATATATATATATAAAGAAGTAGCTACAATTTGCTGATAGATTCCCTATGATGGTCAATTCAAAAACAAACAAAAACACTGAATGGAAAATTTATTCCTTGTTGAGCTGGGGATGTGGCTCAAGGGGTAGCGTGCTCACGTGTGGACCAGGGTTCGATCCTCAGTACCACATACAAACAAAGATGTTGTGTCCGCTGAAAACTGAAAAATAAATATTAAAAAATTCTCTCTCTCTTTAAAAACAATTATTCCTAGTTTATATAAGGCTTTCACATAAAATATTTTATTAACTTAAGTAATTATTAAGCATCAAATTATTTTTTCTATAAATGACAACCATTTATAACCAAATTTATTCTATGTCTTTAAAAATGACAAAACATGTATTAATTGACAAAATGTGTATTAATCAACAAATCACAAAACACATCTGAACGCTTTGGCAGTCTTTCCCAATCTTGATATAGCACCTTCAGTACACAACAGTTCCTACCATCTTATTATAATCTATCCCCCATCAGTGGTGGCATCTTGATATGGTCAAGGTCATTCTTTTGAAAATTGAAATATGAAACAGTTTAAAATGTCTTTCAGCATTTTATTCTTACAAAAGATATAACTCATTATGATATTTTTCTTTCTTCTCTGAAACTACACTTCGTGCAGAACTCCAGAATATAGTTTTAATTAAAAAAAAAACTTTATTCTACTTTATCACCAAGTTAATTTGAAGTTTTTTCTTTCCTACTTTTTAATCATTGATATTTTTTTCTTCTCTGAATCTACACTATTGCAGTACTCCAGAATATAGTTTTAATTTAAAAAAAAAACTATCCTAGTTTATAACCAACTTAATTTGAAGTTTTTTCTTTCCTATTTTTTATCATTTGCCATTGTTTTCTTAAATCACTTAAAAGGATTCATAATTCTATAATATACTTCATAACTATTATTGGTAGAGTACACTTCAATAGTAAGATTGTATGTATCCAGGAATATCTCATTTTCTTCAAGGCAGTGGTGAAAAGGTTAATTCACAGCTGCATTTATGAGTAAGTTTTATTTATATTTGACCTGTGGTAAAAAGATTTATCTTTCAGTTGATTAAACTATTTTCCCAAGTGACAAGAAGTGAAGTGTTAATCACATACTGATATAAAATAGATTAATTTAGATAGAAAAGTACTTTTTTGTTTTAGTAAAGTTTGGAATTAAAAATAGAGCAGTGAGTTAAAAAATCTGATTTAATCCTTGGAACTACCAGATGGAATAGTAAAAAAGGGATGATAGGAGGGGAGCAAGGGAGAGAGTGAGAAAGGAGAGAGAGAGAAGAGAGAAAAAAAGAAGAGAGAGAGAGAGAGAGAGAGAGAGAGAGGGATTTTGATTGATTTTCAAGCATCCCATCACTAATTTTAACATTTTGGCATAATAATATTTAAAATGTCTGAACAACCGGAACACTGATCCATTTTCCTTTACTTTAAGATCCAAAATGATATATTTTTTTAAAAAAGAGTCTTCCCGGGAACACCGGGAAAATGATTCAGAAGCCTGCGGTAGGGTGCAAACTAAGAGCATTCTTCCAACCCACACGACCTTTTCTCTCTTTCTTGCAAAGCTCTTCTCAGCCCAGCCAGAAAACCCAGACAAGTTTATTTACACACACACCCGCACACGCACACACACACACACACACCCCACACACGCAGAAAGAGAGAGAGGGAGAGAGAGTGGCGGAAACGCCCTCTTTCCATCCCTTCCAAACAATTATCTCCGAGAGCAAAAGAAAATAATCAACAGCCCTGTGTGCTCGGCGGCGGAGCCCGGGAGCCGGGCGCGGGGAGGGAGGGCGATCGGCAGGCGAGCAGGGAAACGTGGCTCCTCTGCCGAGGAGAGGATTTGTGAAAAGGAGCGCTGGCCCGCGTGCGCCTCTTGTTCCCCGTGTAATTTGCAGCCAATCATCAGTAGGTGTCCACGTCCCTGCGTCCTCCTCACCTCGGCGCCAATCGCGCCCCCCCGCCCCCAGCCTCCACACCTCCTCCCTCGCCTTTCTCTCCGCTCCCCTCCCCCAGCAACCACACACACGCACACACACAAACAGAGCGAGAGGGGGGAGGGTGAGAAAGAGAGAGAGAGAGGGAGAGAGAGAGAGAGGAGAGACTCCCCGGCTCCCTCCCTCCCTCGCACACAGCGACTGGAGACGGACGGAGAGCAACGCGCTGGGAGAGGAGAGACCACCGACAACAGCCCCGCGCTCTCACACATACACTCACACTCGGCTCTTTCCTCTCCCCCCACCTCCTCCTCCTTCCACCCCCACCACTAACACCATCTCCTCCTCCTTCTCTCTGCAACAAGAAAAAAAAAAGCCATTTACAGGTATTTTTTTTTTTGATCCGCATATTTATTTACCCCCCTCCCCAACAGTTTGTTTACAAGTATTAAAGTTGTAATTGGGAGCTGCCAAGACACATCTGGATTTGTGTTTCTTTGTGTTAGGGGTGATGTGCAACTAATTAAAGGCAGACTGGCAGCGTCTGCAAATTCTAAGGCTCCCCAAATAAAAAGAGACTGGTAAGTGATTGTTCTTTCTCTTTCTCTGGCTTTTTTCTCTTAAATGTTTGCTGTCCGTTGGGATTGTAAAAGTAGATTATTAATGCTGGACTCCAGCAGTTAAAAACCGTGGCTGTATTAATTTATTAATTAATCTGCACCCGCCCCTCCTCCTGAATGTTAAATATGACCTTTGATCTCTATGTCTCTGGTAGACCAGACATACAATCTTAGGCATGTACAGTCACATTGTTTAAAGGCAAAACAGGATCATGAAGTATGTGTGTCTAATTTAGCTTTGGTATAGAACTATAGTTATTTCTGTGTGTTTTATTTTGTTTTTAAATAAAATGCAAACAATAGCTGTGGCTTAGGTACCTTTTTTTCATGCTCCAGAGATGCATTGATTAAACAATAATGACCTGGATACTGGGCACAATCATTTTTTACAGATTCTGGTGGCATTAAACCTTGAGGTGGGAAGGGGGGAGGTGATGGCAATCAGAAAAGCAAGGAGAGCTTCTGTTTGGAAACACCACTCTTGACTCTGAAAAGGGGACACTAAATTATTTCTTTCCTTTTTTTTTTCTTTCTTTTTTTGGAACAAGGTCAAAAGATTGAAATGTTGAAAAATTTCCCTCCACTCAGTGTGATGATATCTATTGCATGGTTGGCATAACTAGTTTTTAACTGAGTAGCAGTTATTATGGTCTTGCAGTTACAATGTGATTCGCAGAAACTGAAGCTATATGCATATTCTTGCTGTGTCTTCCCCCACCCCCTTCCAAGCATCAAGAATATTTAGCCAGGAGCATTTTGGGGGCACCCTTTGTATTGCCATCAGACCTCAGAAGGGAGCAGTTTTCCCTAATGTGAAACCACAGAGGAGGTTCCTGAGTGATTAGGGACTTGCTGTGATTGAAAGATGCCTGCTAGCTTCTAATCCAGCCTGGGGTGAGGTTCCTTATCTTGATTTACTTTGCCTAATAGGGATTTGTTTACATAAACCCCTCTTTTTTAGGGCGCCTCATCAGTAGGTCTTGAAGTTTTTGCACTTGGAGTTTGGGCATAAATGGTTCATTAATCTAATTATAAGCATAATTACTATAATTGATATCCATTTTAAACTCTGAATATTTGAGACTCAGACTACTAGGCCCCCATTTAGAATTTTCTGAACTCTACATTCTAGACCAATCTGTGGTCTTCAAAAGATGTCACAAAAAGATATTCTGGCAAAAAATATCTGGAAACAAAGAAACTGGTTTTTAGGTGAATATACACTTTATGTCCTTGCTCTACTTCTTAAAAGGCTGTGATGTACTTCTTCCTCTGTAATAAACAACTAAAATACCGCTTCCTAAAGCATAATAATGGCCTGTAACCAGAGAGATGAATGCAAATACCCAGTTAACATTAAACTTTCCTCTCAAAAAGAGCAAAAGGGGAAAAATCATTTAAATGGTTATTTCTTTGGGTAAACAACACCTCAAGGGACCCCCTCCCTTTTACTCAATGTAAAAATCAGTGATGGTGAGAGATCATTAAGGGGGGAAAAAAAAAGAGTCCCATGCTTTCCTCTTGTCTTGGGAAGAGACAGCAATCTCCATTAGGTATGATTGGGAATATTCTTACAGAGGCTGCAGACACTTGCTTAAAAGCCTGTGACATTGCTTGTATTTATTTATTTTTTTAAATTTTATCTAGTCCATCTTTCTTCCTTTCTTTTAAACAAGTAAAACACCACCCTTTTACCCCCACCAAGCCCCACCACCAAATGGCTTGTACAATTGAGACCTGTCCTTGGTCCATTGAATTAAGACCCTAACAGAGCCAGCTGTGCTGGGATTCAAACTAATGACCGCAGACACAGAAGGACACTGTGGCAGCTGGTAGTTCTTTTTTCCCTGCCTCTTTAGTTCAGATTGTATGTGGGCAGTCTCTTAGCTCTCAGTTGTATTGTGTTTGCTTACAGTTTATACTCGGATGTATTGTAGACTTTCTCAGTACTTCATTTGCTAATTTCCTGTTCATTTTCCTCATAGGGCCATTGCTGTTTTCTACTTTACAGCATTTGCATGCCCAGGCAGCACTTGTTCACACATTTCATAATGTTTAAATGCCCTCTGCTTATAGGTAGTATCGCCCTCCCACCCCTGATTTGCATGTCTTTAGCACTCCAATTGCCCTTTTCCCTCGGCATTTGTCACCCCCGTCTTCCCACTTTCCCTGGGTATTCTGGCTACTAATACATTTTCTCAGGAGGGTTACAAGAATAGAGGGGAGGAGCTGTAGTTTGCTGTGGGGAGGGAGGGAGTAGGGGTTGGGAGTGTTGCGGGGGTAGAAATGGGGGGTCACGTCTCGATGATTGTTATGCAAACGACCTGACAGAAGAATGTGGGAGCCTTTGGTGTCTGCGGTGGGGTATGAGGGAGGCTGTTTATTTATTTTTAATCTTTTTCCTCGTGCAGCTCGTTGGAATGACTTTCTTTATTTTAGTTGTAACAGTTGGAGGATAATGCAAAAGAAGACGCTGCCTGGGAATTCACCGTCTGTGGAAATGCGCCCCAGAGAGGAATAAAGCAGCCCTCACCTTGCTCTCCCCACCCGGACCCACTTTCCCCTCCCGCCTCGGCCCCCACCCCAACACCACCATCACCCCCTTCCCTCCCCCCCATCTTTCCCCCTTTCCCACCCAGGTGTCGGACCAGACGGTCCCCACTTCCACCCTGCACCCCTTCTTCCCCCCCTGCACCATGAACACCAATGTCTGCGTGGAGCCCGGGCCGAGCCCGGAGGCCCCGGGCTTGCCCAAGGAAAGCCACCTGCCCGAGGGGGCCCTGAACAGCCTTGTGGATTACAACTCGGAGATGGAGCGCTACCGCTCCTTTGCCACCTCCTTCTACAAGACCAACGGGGGCGCCTTCCCGCAGGCGGCCAAGATCGCGCGCATCACCACCCCCATCTTCCCCGGTAAGTGATTGTTCTTTCTCTTTCTCTGGCTTTTTTCTCTTAAATGTTTGCTGTCCGTTGGGATTGTAAAAGTAGATTATTAATGCTGG